AAGATACATTTTAGCAACTGGTAACTGGAATCCAAAAGTTGGAAGTAAAGAAGGACTGGTAGTTAGAAACTATGGCATTGGAGACAGATATGAAGCAATTCATTTCATAAGACTGAAATGAGGCATTTGAGAGAGAATTAATATGACATTACAAAATTATATATAAGAGATTAAAAATTGTATGTAATATAATTTTGTAAATGATAAAATTTATATATAATTTTGTACAATCAATGACATATTTATAATTTCCCTACTTTTTCACTTTGCACCGAACCCTGCAAAACACATAGTAAGCCCTAGACCAGACTGAAAGTCCTTGAAAATCTTCCTTACAGTTACACATGGATTTCCAGTGATACCCATTCTATTTTGATCTCTAAAAATGAATTTTAAAAATATCTGAAGCAATCATGGTACATAATATGATTTGGTTTGACCATAGTTGAGGGGATGACTTTTCATTACATACCTCTCTGGGATGATCTGGATCTTGGATTGTTAAAGCAAGGGAGTCTAATTTCAGGAAAAGGACATAATGAGCAATGTCAGAACAGTATGAAAAGAAGTAGGTATATGACATAAGCAACCAAAACATGTTAGAAATTCCCCTCTCTGCTTGCTACCAAAGATCTTACCATGGTGACTTTATCCGCGTGATGCTCCAGGGTCAGATCCAGGATAGTAGCTGCATCATGCACAGTTGTATATTTTGTTTCAGAGAGTTTCATCAGGAGATTCCATACAAAGTCCGTCAGCAAAGAGGGTGTTAAGTTTTGTCCTACATACTAAAACCAAAAAGAAATATATGATGTTCTGATGCACATCCATAAATATGCAAATAAATTCAACCCATCCTGTTGGAGTCACACAAGGCTTCAGTAGACTCTAGAAACTTCAGCCTTCATGGGATCCCTCTTCCATAAAAATATTAAAAAAGTATATTTTGCAAAAGATTTTGCCCAGCAAAAGGATATTTTCAAAAAGGACTTCCTTTATTTTATGTTATTTTTTTTAAGTTCATTTTGCATTGTGTTTGGGATTTTCCAAAACCAAAACAGATGCCTTTGGGTTGACTCTGACTTGTGACCCTGTGTGTATTGGAGGAGAACTGTTCTCCACAGGATTGTCAGTGGCTTTCCCCTTCCCCTTCCCCTCCTGCCAGAAATAGGTCACCAGACCTTTTCTCTGAGATGCCTCTGGGTAGATTCTAAGCTCCAGACTTCTAATTAACAGTCAAATGTATGTATTGTTTGTATCACCCAGGGACTGCACTTTGGTATAAAAGATCTCTGTAATCTAAGCAGTATCATCTTTTTCCTTTTACATTTTAAAAGCCAATTACACATTACTGTGAAAACTCAAACACATAAACACATAAATATTAAACATAAACTTATTGGTTCAATAGAAAGAGATTAGTGAAGCCTCCAAGACTATGGCTCTGAATCACCATGTAAACCTGGCACAAAGCTCACTGTCATGACTCAACTTTCAGCCAAACAATAGACAGGACTGTAAGGTGAGCAGTAAAACCAGGAAGGAACTCACCTCCTCTTAAACAATCAACTACATAAGATCAAAGGAGCAACATTTGCCCAGGGAAAAGCTCAGAAGTAGTAAGGATTAGGTTTGGAAGGACTGATAGAAATGAAAATTGCCAGGTGCAAATGGGAAGACTGCATTTAAATTGTGTGCATTGTAATCAAGGTTATAGAACAAAATGTATGTGAATATTTAAATGGAAAGCCACCATGTTCTGAAAGCTTTATTAAAATCATAATAAAAAAAATTATTGTGTGTTCCAACCAATTTTGCAATGTTGAAACACAGCCTCCTGGATAACTCAGCCCTGAGGACATGGACAAACTTATGTCCTTTCAAACAGGTGCAAAGTATGTAACACTCTGGTGGCCTAGTGGCAAGAAGCTGTGCTGCAATCCCAAAGGCACATGGTTAGAGGCCTCCAGCTGCTCTTCAGAAGAAGGATGGGCAATCTCCTCCCATGTGATTACCCTGCCTTTGAAAATCTGCTGGGGGGTCAGCTATGATTCGGTTCTGACTTAATGGCATACAACAACAACAAATGTTTCTCCTCAAGACTTGGGTCAGTGTAACAACTAATTCTTTAGCAACAAGTAATATCACTGAAATTTGTTGTTGTTGTTCATTTAATAGGTATTATAAAAATCATAATATTCTATTTGCTGAGCAAATTAGAACACTGTTTTAAAAACCGTTATTTACTAATTAATTGTGCTAGATATTCAAAACTTTTCCAACAACAACAAAAAGAAGCATAACAATTAGGAAGTACCTAAAAGATTAAATTATAAGAAACATAAATTGTGATACTTGAGGATAATAAAAATAATTTTACTATGCAAAATGAAAATCAGGAAGCAACAGACTATGTATGATTTTACTTTGTTAATCTGGGCCTTTAAACACAGAAACATTTATTAAAAACAGAAAATAAACAATTTTGTTGTAATAAATTACCATTAAAAGTAATAACATGCACCCTGGTAGCCTAGTGGCAAGAAGTTGTGTTGCAAAACCAGGTTCACAGTTTGAGGCCACCAACTGCTTTGTGGAAGAAGGATGGGCAATCTCCTCCTGTGTGATTAAAATGCCTCTGAAAACCCACTGGAGGATCAGTAATGGGTCAGGTCCAATTCTATGGTACACACAACAAGAGCAATAAAGAGCTTTAACGGCTTAGTCCATAGAGAGTTGTGCTACCTAGCTTGAAGATTGGGTATCTGATTGTTCAAATCCACTGGCTTTTTAATAGGGAAAAATATGAGCAATCTCCTTATATGAAATTCACAGTTTTGGAAACTCAGATGGAATGCCAGCTATGAGTCAGCTGTCACTCAACAACAATGAGTAGTAGTAGCAGCAATAAGAGTAATAATATATAACAGAAGTTATAGGAAAAGTGGTCTAAATTACCAGAGCAAGTTCACTTTTGTCTTGTAAGACATGGGGATGGAATTCCAGCTCAGATGAAGAAGACGAGTTGTTGTGACCTTTAGATTTCCTGTCCACTGTTTTTTTCTGGAAAATATCCTCTGTATTATGGGGGGGAGGGGAAATTAAAGTTTTCATTTTATCATCTATAGTATTACTATTTTCAATTTCCTCTTTTTGGTCAATTCTGAAGATCTGAAGTTCTCAGAATATTTAATACTCTGTCATTAGTTTAGACGTAAGATTATTACAATTAGAGTGACCCAGAATTATAAATGTTTAAGATGTTCATATAAAATATGAATGAAGAACACAGGTAATTTTGTTAGATTGATCAAATATGCTTAGATTGTCATATGTGTTGTTCACAGCACTGGAAAACTTCTGACCAAACTGGAGGGTTTATGGAGGGGAAAGTAGACTCAGAGGACTGGTTGAACAGGAAAGCCAGAGGATGTTCCAAAGAAGATGTGAACTTTAAGCGACTTTGTTTTGTAATTTTGGCTTATTTGTCTTAACAGCTATTACGGGTGCCTAGTGATAGGAAGTTGGGCAGCCAACACAAAGATGTATAGTTCAAAACCACCACTGTCTCTGAGGGAGAAATATAAGCAATCTCTTCCTTCCCTTGTAATTTACTCACAACTGACCTTATATCATCACAAGTTGACCTTATATATAAGGTAAGCTATGAGACAGTTCCAAAAAATGAAAGTGTTTTTATTTAAAATTAGTAGACATGCACATATTTTTTAATATAAATTTTCGCTTTAGACTGGTTTACATACAAAGTTTGCATATGTTGTTTTTCACATCAGATCTTTCCCATTTCCTTAACCTACCTTCTCTTCACCCATCTAATTGTGTGACCCTGTGATTATGCCCTACACCCATCCTCACCCTTGTGCTTCTACCATCCACCTACCTAGATCCTTATACATGTTTTACTAGTTATCTATTTCTATAATAATGGTCTATGCAGTATTTCTCTTTATGGAACTAAGTTAGTTCATTCAGCTTAATGCTCTCCAGTCTCTCCCAAGTTAGAAAGTGATTTACAAAAATCATTGCTCCTGTATGCTGCATTGTATTTCATCCTGTGAATGTAACATAATATCTCAATCTATTTGATTGTGGTTGGACATTTGGGCTGTCTCCACGTTCTTGCGATGGTGAATAAGAGTTGTGAACACTAGTGTACAAGTCATCATTTGTACCTCAGTTCTCATTTTCTTGGGGTATATTCCAAGCAGTGGAATAGCTGGGTCAGATATATCTTGGAGAGGATGCACCAGGAGTGATCTTTGGAGGTAAGAATGATGAGACTTTAGCTCACATACTTTGGGCATGTTGCTTGGAAGTGCTATTCCTTGGAGAAGGACATGATGCTGGGAAGGGTGGAGGTTTCGCAAAGGAGAGGAATATCCTCAGCCAGGTGGATTGACACAGTGAATGCAGCAATGGGCCCTTGTGTGTCAAGAAGTGTGAGGATGGTTCAGGATAGAACAGATTTTCAACTTTTTGAGGAAACACCAAACTGCCTTCCAGCGTGGTGTACATTTTACAATCCCACATGTATGAGGATCCAAGGAGGGGACGGGCAGCAGAAGGGTGAAGGTGGATGGGGGAGCAGTAATGATAAGGTCACACAATTTGATGGGTGTACGGAGGGGTGTGTAAAGGAAATAGAAAATATCTGGTATGAAAAAGAATGTATACGAACTCTATAAATTAGTATTAAATAAAAAAAGTTTCTGGCCAGTGCCCGAGTCTTTTGTTCATAGGGTCGCTGTGAGTTGCCTCCAACTTGACAGCACACTTAACAACAACAACAACAGCAACTACAACAACGACAGCATAGAGAGAGATCAGTTGACCTAGTGGACAGAATGACATGCTCCCAAGCCAAAGGTGGGTGGCTCTAATCTGCAGCCCTCAGGCCTGCTTTTACTTGTTTTTGGTGAAACATTCTTCTAGGTCGTATAACCCTGGTATGTCCACTTACTGTACAGAAGTAACTCATGGTTGCTGTGAAGCTGAACACTGTGACATTGATGTGTCAAATGTGAGAATGGTTAGCCATGGGGGACAGTGTTTGATGGAGCTCCCTGATTATAACAAGCTTGGAAGCAGGAGTGGCACCCACTTCTGTAATAGCTTGCCTCCGGAAACCCTATGAACCTGGAGAAAGGACAAAAGTTATACTGGTGCCCAGGTCTTTCATTCATAAGGTTGCTATGAGTCGCCTCAGATTCAACGACACTTAACAACAACAAACATCTCGCCATATCCTCGCCCACATGTATTACTTGCTGTCCTGTTAAACTTTGCCACTGCTATTGGAGTGAGATGGTATCTCATTGTGGTTTTGATTTGCATCTCTCTTATTGCCACTGATTTAGAGCATTTCTTTATGTGTCTGTTGATTATTCAAATTATCTTCCTCTGTGAAAATTCTTTGCCCATTTTGTGATTGTGTTATCAGTCTTCTTCTTGTAGAGACTCTAAAGGATTTTGTAAACATTTGATATGAGACCCTTGTCTGAAATGGTATTGCCAAATGTTTTTTTCCACTTGGTAGGTTTTCTTTTCACTCTGTTGGAAAAAATTTTGAAGCACACAGGGATTTAATCTTTATAAGATCCCATTCATCAATTTTATCCTCTTCAGATTGTGCATTATGGCTGTATTTGGCAGTCTCCTTATACTTAGACTAGGCCATCTAAGCTTGATACCAGTTTGTCTCTTATGCACTTTATGGTTTTGGCCTTTACTCCCAAGTCTCTGATCCACCTTGAATTGATTTTGGTGTATGGTGTGAGATGTGGATCTGATTTAAGCTTTCTGCAGATAGCAGTCCAGTTTTGCCAGTATCTTTTGTTGAAGAGATTGTCATTTCCCTATTTGATAGGTTTTCGTTGTCGAATATCAATTGACCATAGATAGCTGGGTCCATTTCTGGATTCTCAATTCTGTTCCATTTATCTGTGTGCCTGGCATTGTACCATTACCATGCTGTTTTGATTACTGCCACTGTGTAGTAGATTTATTCTCAGAAGTATTCTGCTTCTTAGAAGTCTCTTGCCTCTCCAAATAAACTTGACAATTTCCCTTGTAATCTCTTTGAAAAATGAATTTTATATCTGTAGTGGGATTGTGCTGTACATGTAGATTGCTTTAGGTAGGATTGCTATTTTCACAATATTGAGTCTTCCTATCTATGAACAGAGCACATTTTTTTCAATTTCTTTAGATCTTTTATTATGTCTTATAGAAATGTTCTGTAGTGGGTTTTTTGTTTGTTTGTTTGTTTGTTTTCGTACAGGTCTTTTGTATCTCTAGTTAGGTTTACTTCCAAGTATCTTAATTTGTGGTTTGGCTATTGTAAATGGTATTGCTTTCTTGGTTTCCTTCTCTGCTTTCTCTTTGTTACTGTAGAGCTCTAACCAGGTTTTTCTTTAGTCTTTGGAGTATTTTGTGTACACTAGGAAGAATTCAAGACACTAAAGGGCTGAAAAGAAGATTCCAAAAAGCAGCACGGAATAACAAAGCAAAATATTACAACGAAATGTGCGAGGAGCTAAAATGGGAAAATCAAAAGGGCCAGACTCGTTCAGCATTTCTTAAGCTCAAGGAACTGAAGAACAAATTAAAACCTCGAGTTGCTATAATCAAGGATGCTTACGGCAGAATATTAAATGATCCAGGAAGTATTAAAAGAAGATGGAAGGAATATACTGAGTCATTCTATCTAAAGGAATTGGCAGATACAGAAGAATTTAATGAAATAACATTTGAACAAGAGCCTAGGGTGATGAAGGAAGAAGTTCAAGCTGCTTTGAAGGAAATAGCAAAAAAATAAGGCCCCAGGAATAGATGGTATACCAATTGACGTATTTCATCTGACAGATGCTTCCCTGGATGTGCTCACCAAGTTGTGCCAAGATATCTGGAGAACAACCACTTGGCCAACTGACTGGAAGGGA